CACACGTTGGAGAACTGGAAGTGTTCCGCTAATCTTGAACCGTCTGTGATGGCGGTGCTCTAAGCCATTGTGCACAATATCTCCCCTGTTACTGTTCCTCATTTTGAGCGCTCTGCAATGCGTCTGGGTTCTATTTTCTGCATAATGTTCAGTGATCACTGCTACCAAGGATATTCCAGCTTTTCACTCATGAATGGAACACACCCAGAGCCCCTCATCTCACCCCTCAGGAAAGCCTTTCTTCGGGCCTTCATATTTCGGGGCTCTGGCACTCGGTCTCCTTTATCCTTTCTTTTATCAGCAAGAAGATAAAGCAGCGTTCAGACTCCACGATGACGCGCGTGGACGCGCTACGACACGTTGTTGGCGCGCTACCTCTGCACTGATGCTCCGATACTATAGACGGGAACGTAACGGCAGACGGGTATCGATCGGCACTGGCCGCTAGTGTTGGGAGAGTATGGAAGGAATGGTGGGTAGCAGACTGTGTGAAGGCAGCGTCAACTTCCTGCTATCCTGTACTTTCGGAAAACACAGGCGGCCGGCGCCGATCGATACCCGTCCGCGGCCCGTCTATAGCATTGGAGCGCTATTGTAGTAGTAGCGTGTAACAGAGCGTTATCACGAAGTCTGAACGCTGCCTAAAGCAGTAAAGTAGCTGTGGTGATTGCAGCGCTTTTAAAGTAGCTGTTGTGATTCCGCTATATTTCGGACTAAAAATTAGTGACTTCCCGTGGCGGTAATATCCCATATTTTTGTGCGTGAGTGAGTGCTCAACTGGTAACTCAGCTTGTGAACTTATAAGTTTAGAGTAGACCTGCTATTTAGTCTAAGGGAATGTGCGGAACAGAAACTAGTAGTGAGCAAGTAAGTTATCCTTTATCTTGCTAACTTAAGAATAATCGCTAAAAATGCCGACAGATCACATCGTCATCTAATTCCTGACTGAATTCTTAATCTGCGCCCGAAACTTTTTTAGTTGGATAAAAATAAAAAAATACATTTATTTTATGGGGGATTATCCTTGGGGTGACAGCACCTGTAACCTTTTAAATGTGTGTCTTTGTCTTTATTTTTTCTTTTGCATTTTCACAATCGTGTCTGAGAGTGGTAGTCCTGTGAATTCTTGTCAATGACCCTGTTAACTCCTGTCAAGCTTGGCGAAGTGATACCAGCGTTAACTGGACGCCATTTCTACGTTTTCCTCCAAATCATTCTAACAGGTTTAGCTGGAGTTTGCAGGGCGCTTGACAGGTGATAACAAGGCTTACAAGATGTTGACAAGGTCGGCCAGTGTTTACATGTATATAGTTTACAGGACTGGTTAACTAAGTAGCGCTTACAAGTGTACCCTGCCCCCCCCCCCCACCCACCCCAAAGATTATTAGCACCATTCTATGGTTTAGTTTGTTGCTGTTTATTTAATTAGATCTAATTTTTATTACAGCTCTGCAGCAACAGCAACAGAATCATTTTGCCAACATGTTTCAACAAAAGTGAGACTTTCACTGTGATATGTTATCTTCTTATCGCACACATTTTATGTATACTTGTATTACCGCCTACTGTCTTTGTGTCGCTTTTGTGTGCTTGTTGTTGTTTTCATTACAAAGTCAATACAGCTTGCACACAAATTTGGCTTTCACTTGCTCATTTTTGTGAATTTTTGCTCCTGCCCGATCGTATACCTTGTTATGTTGCCAGGAGTTTGTGGCACTTGTTTCAGTACACCTTTTGCTTGTACGTGTCACGCTCGTGTTGTGTCGCTCGTGCCATGCGACACGACTTATTTTTGATATTTTGTTTGAATTACGTTTGGTTTTCTAATACGAATGCAGCTCGATTACTTGTAATTGATCCGGGATTTCTGAATGTTTCACTATATTCGCCCGTCGGATTTCAATATATTTGCTCCTGTAGGTGCAGGTGTAGCACGGGTCCGCAAGAGATGACGTCATCCGAGCTTAGGTGACGTCATCTGGCGTTAATGAGATTGCGTCTCGATAACATGTTAACTTTGAAGAAATCTGTGTCGTACCTGACAATGGCGTCTCACGACATGTCGCCAAAGTGTTACGTGACGTCAGTGACACGTCATCTACCCCCTGGTGCGTCTGGAATGCGTACCCATGCTACATAAGCGTCGATTTGTACTTACCCTTCACTAACTCTAATTGTATTGATATCGTTTCAAAAGTTGCGTTGATTGTTTTCAATTTGATAGCCTTATTGCTTGATGTCATTTGCTAATCCACAAAAAAACCGAGTTAGTACAAGTTTTTTTTACATGGTTGTACATTAGTTCCTGGCGCGCGTGCCCGTGTGCGGCAAGCGGATCTATTCGACTCATCATGTTCCTTTCGACTTTTTCATGTTTCTTTCGTCCGTGTTCAATATATCCCAGTAACATCGGGCATGTCAGATAATTCGTTCGTCATTCATTCATTCATTTTCTCACATTGCAGCCGTTTCATGTATTTAAATTATAAAAACTTTATTAAGATATGCATTGACAAAAATAAAGTGTGCAAATTAGTACATATGTATATCACATAGAAAAGGGGGAAGAAAAATATTCTGCTAACTCTGTGGTAAAAACGAGATAAAATTTGGCACAAATTGTCGGAGACGTACACAACAACTCATTAACTGAAAAAAAATAGAATCTGTGTAACTCACGAAAACAAACGCAGGGCAGAGCACCTCTGGGACGCGTGAGGTCGCGGCGCGTCATTCGATCGTATTCGTACCCGTTGTGCGTGACAGACATTACACTTTTACCGTTCTGGATGTTTTATTGCTCCACTGTATGCCATGCATATTGCGTCGAACATCGGTCGTTCAACGCGTCGCGACTGCACGCGTCCCAAATGTGCAAAATCATTCCCCATGTGCTGGACTGAGTCATTCATCATCGGGAGTGCTATGTATAAGGGCGATCACAAAAACGCTGTATCCGCTCTTATAACTTATTTGGATGTACCTATGACAATAATCAAAAATGTGAACACTTATTGATTTTATGCATATGTTCGTGCGTAAAATCAATACGCACGTCCTTTTTGTGTGCGTTAGGGAGAAGATACTACGTTTTGCTTAGAACAATAAGTTGTAAAAGCGGAACAGCATATCAAGTTGTCGGCGCTAACGTAGTTCGGATGAGCGGGGTGGAGGGGGGGGGGGGGTGAGAGCGAGGGTGAAGAACACGCGGCAGCGTTACTGTTCAAAGCACCAGGTGTGCCGACGTTGCGCGAATTTTTGGCGAGTGCGACTCTACGCCAAACCAAGGGGATGAGGTAATATTGCGTGTGCGGGGAATAAATCAACAATATGGAAATTTTCCCTGGCGGAATTTGACCCGCCTCTCCGGTAGCCAGGTATGGCCTTCTTGTATTTAGCATAACGGAAGTGATATTTAATTGTATCTGCTCGGCGGGTCCAGGCGACAGCGGAAGAGAGGGGATAGCGCCCTGCTCAATGAATTATAAGTCTAGGATGACGGATGATTTAGAGTATCCAAAACTGCGCGTAAAATTGAGTGCGCAGGACATAAGTGCACACAGTACTCCTCAGCCTAAGCCGCATCTGACCGCAGGTGGAGAGCGGAGCTAGCGTCGCTTTCGCTTTCTGGCCTCACCCAGGAGCTCCCCACTCGCGGGATTACGGTATGCCTAATTGTGTGCGCTCATGGGACCGATACATTCAATTTCTCGTGCACTTTCGGGTGTGGCTGTATTAACGCGTATCTCTTTCTGAACTTCAAAATCTTGTGCCATGCTCAGCATGAGCCTATGGAAAGGAAATTGACGCACTTTCGCTTGTCCCCCCGCTTCACTTCCGAACCGAACTACGTTAGCGCCTGAATTGGCTACGGTCCTATGGTCAGAAAAGACCTACAACCTGGAACCATGGCTGAGTCGACAATTCTACTCTACAGAGGGGGGGTCCCCTCCGAATCGGGAACACGATGTGGGAGATTAACGTTTATGAATT